TCTTTCCACTCCTCCCATTATTGTTTTCTTGGTTTCTCATTACACAAAAGTACGCTATTTAGTTGATTCATTGTTTCTATTACTAAAGCATTTTATTTCAATTAAATTAGGGGATCAATAGGTTAGATATCCATATAACAAGACAAGCACACAAAAGATGCACTTGATGCGTATATTATCTAGAATGTTTAATAGTGTGTTTGGAAATACGTTTCCACACATTTAATCACGTCCGTCCGAGATCAAAAACGTGAAAATAATAAGCAAAAAAATTTTACTTCTCCGTTAACGTGATTTTCAAACGTGTATCCAGACACACACTACATTTAAAACCACGTTCAAATGCCAATTAATGTAAATTTAGGTGAATGTTTACATATTTATATCGAAAAGTTCACTTAAAATTTACGATTAATTTTCACTATAAACAATTTTAGGAGACTATTGCGTTAAATAAAAATGTTATATTAAATTTTACTTATTCCAAGTATAATGATAAGGAGTGATACTCTTGTACCCTTAAAAAAGTTGTAGAGATTGAATTTTTAATTTAATAATTGAATTATGTAATAATATTGTGATAATTTTAAGATTAATCAAATATTCACAAACATCATACTTAATAATTATTAAATGGATGTTGTAAAAAATAATTAAATGAATCAATGAAATGTTAATTAGATTTTAAGTTCTATAAATATTTTATTGGTTTCGTACTACATAGTAAATTAGTTTTCATTCTAAAATTATGTTTAAAAAGTGCGCAAAAATATTAACTTAATGAAATGTTCAGGTTTCAATGGAGCAAACGTAAATGAACACCAATTCTAATTATTTGAGAAAAAAAAATATCTCCTAGTATGGGAAAAACAAGTAAAGGAACAAATGGACAAATATAATTTTATTTTAATTATGTTGCCATATTATAATATGGTTACATTTTTATTTTCAGTTTTTTCCTTTGTCTCTATCCAAATAACAGAAGATATTTTATTTTCCTATTTTCTCAGTCTTCATACTGAAACAAAACATGAGGCAGACAATTAACACTTCCAAAATTGGGCCGTCAAATCTGATGGGGAACTCGAACATAACCTGATGCGATGACTTTGTCACACACGAAGGCTTCTACAACCCCACTAATATCGGCGCCCAAAGCTAAATGCTGTACCAGTTTTTAAATGCGACCGTAACATTATTCAAGATTTTTTGAACGTGAAATCAAATCCTGTTGGGAGCTTTAAAGCATTCTAAACAAATGGACCCTATCACTTCAAAACACATTTTAAAAAATTTCTTGTTATTACAAACATGTGTCTATTTTGAGATAAAACTAGCCAATGACAAATTGGACGTTTTTAAATTACTGGCAGTGCGTTTTAATTAGCGTTCAACTTGAAAAAATTAGTTGAAGGTAAAAGTTAAAAATAGTTACTTCTTCATTCAGTATTTAAAAATAAGTAAAATCTCATTTGCCTCATTACAAACGGATTCTCAAATAGGCACTAGCACATCTAAAATTTGTCATTACAAGTTAATACTTTATAGTATGAAGAAAAGAAAATGTACCACACTCCATGCACACTCCATGTCTTTAAAATCAATCTTTTCCCCCTTATTAAGTTTAATGCCACGCACACTCCATGTCAGTGAACATGTATCTTGCCTAGCAAGTTGTTACATCAAGATTATAGAGGACACAGGTGAAATGGCAATGGTAAAACTGGGCTTTAACTCCCTGCTTGAAGTGCTGCATAGCACAATCAATCAGCATAGAAACGTTGGTTGGAATGGTTAGTCCAGACAATAATAAGTAGCGGCGGGGAGGGTTGAGTGTTGTGGTCACAGTTAAAAAGGACCTAGCACTGTTGTACACTATATACTTCCAATATTTACATAACAAACTTTACCTAAAATATCACATACAAAACATCAGGAATAAGATTGCTGTAATGGGGTACAATAATCAAGGCGGCGCATTTTAAAGTGCAAGGTTCTAAATAATCTATGCTTGTGAAATTCACATCACTATACATTTTTCTTTGGATTTTCCATCAGGCCTGGGAGATGATGATGTAGATGAAGATGAATGTCTTCCAGGGTTTCTTGCCACCTGCAAATACCATTACCAGAAAATCTTTAAAATTTCAACTTTTATATATAAGTAATATAGCAAGCAGAGTAGTCAAACACCAATCATTTCCTTATGAAAGAGAGTTTAATTTTCATGCATTCTTAGTGTAAGTAATTTTACATTGTCAACAAATTCAAAATACTCTAAATATGACTTGATAGTTATTACAAAAGTCAAAAAATTTATCATCATATATGTTAGTTGGTAATTGAATGACAATGTAAAAATAACAGTGTATTAAAATAAAATTCTATAAAAAATGATCTGGTATTTGCTACCCAAAAAAAAAAAAAAACAGATCTCCCTCAATTACAGACAAAGGCAACTGTCAACACTAAACACTGTCCAAAACAGTTCACACAATATCATTATACAAAAACACTGTAAAATAGGTGCAGTAAAAACTGTAAAACAATATGTACCTGGGGACCTGTGACCAGTCTAGAGCTACCACCAATAGATGATTGCTGTGAGTTATTCTGGCGCGATGGTTGCTGCTCAAACTCCTGTTGTTGCAAGGCTATTGCTAATTGCAGATCAGAACTGTTACAATTACAGAAATGATGGATTTTTACCAAACCGTTTTGAATAATTAAAACTATAATTTAATTTTGAAATAGGAACAAGATTTCATGGCAGCAAATTCAGAAAATTACTTGATATCTAAGCCTGCTTGTGCTGCACTGTCTATGCTGGCAAGATAGTCCTGAAACGAGAAGTTGTCTAAATATGAATGAAAATTTGGTTTGCAAGATTAAAATTTCCCTTTTAAAAGAATATACATACAGCAGTGCTGGTCAGAGCATTGCTCTCATCCCATGTGCTATTTTCATGGCTTTCTACCTTGAATTCCTTGAAGTTACTGGTCATAAACAATGTATCACCATTGACCTGAAAGATAAGTACATAACAAAATTTCTGCAATTTAATATTACACAATGTTAAGATGGTTTTATTAAGAGCATCCTGTTAGTACAAGAAAAAATGAAAACATACATACAAAGCACTACATAAAGATTCATCCACACAGAATTTACTAAATTCCAAGAAAACTGCCAGCATGACTTGACTTGTCCCTAAGTGTCCAAGAAGCTCAAATCACCAAGCATATAACCATTCAGTTATCAGGGCATTGAATTGTGAATATCTACATCTACCAGTGGCAACATAGAAAGAGGAAAAAATAAAAAAGATCATAAAGCAATACTGTATTTACCTCATTCAGTTTTTCCCAGACCAGATCAGGCTGATTTATGTAACCTTGGTCCGTGGCCAGAAGATAGAGCTCACCCTCAAACTGTGAATAAAGAGAAAATAATTTAAGTGTGAAGACTCTGCAAGACAGAACCAGCAATTTTTTTCTCAATGATAAAAAGGTGCTACTGACTGCGCTTGATAATCCAAATGACCAAAGAAAAAATTTTCAAGACTTTTACTGACCTTGAACATGGTGCTGAAATGATTGTTACGGAAAAAAACACACAGCTCACGCTCTTTGAGCCCATCTTGTAAACAGAAAAGGCTACAAAAAAATTTGTAATAAATAACATGTAAAAAAGAAAATTCCTCATAGCCAATGAAGATAATATATGGATCACAGAACTAGATCAAGATATTTAGACCAACAAGACAAGAGGTCAACATACCCATAAAATGTCAACTGGCTGGCATTATTCCTCAAGAAACTTTTGATCAATTCACCTAAGACCATTAAAAAAAATGACAGATGTCTCCCATTTAAGATAACAATATATACTTATATAAGAAAATAATATTCAGATGAGAATCAATCAAGTTATTTAATATATAGCACCACTGACCTTGTTCTGGGGTAAGTTCATCCTTAGCTCTTAGATCAGGAGCAGCTAAGGTGCTTTTGTCAGCCTGTTCTGCAAGTACCACCTCACCTTCATAAATAGGTTCACGATCCTCAAAATTTCCGGTTCTTGTATCCAACACACATTCTTCTCCTTCATATATGGGCTCACTCCCATTAACACTTGAAGTCAATGCTCCCGAAACATCAGTTTGATTATATTTGACACTAGATGAATCTGAATTTGTATGACCTGGGGATGAGAATGATAATCCTGTGGCATCAGGTCCATGAGATTCACCTATAACTTCATGATCTATAGTTGTAGGAATGGACTGATCATGGACTTTTCCATCTCCTCCAGAAACATCTGCATGGCACTCAAACAAAGAGATAGGGTGTTTTTCAGGAGAAGGGATAACTTCATTCTCATTCTGGACCAATGCATCAAGGCTGTTCTTCTCAATCACATTATTCAGGTCAAAAGATTCTTCAGGTCCCGTATAAGCTAATTGATGGTCACTTATGGTATCAGTCTTTAAGGATGGATTAGCTGCCTCTCCCAATGTAGAAGAATAAGATATCTGTTCATTGTGGTCTTTGCCAGAAGCAGTGCAATCATCAGATATGGAAGGCTCTGGGTCATGAATGACACTGTTACCAGCGCCAGTGCTATTCCCTAATTTATCTCCCGAATCCATATTCATAACCTGCTCGTTACACATATTTCTATCCACACTGACAGAAATTTCTCCTCCATTTACATGACCTACAACAGGATCACTTACTGAAGCTGTAGAATCATCCTCAGACAGTTTCAAAACTCTCAACAACTCTGCCTCTTCTTCAAGATCACCTTTCCTTGGGATATGATCAGTATTAGAGAAATCAACACAATGAGACGAATCATCAAAAGACCTGGCCTTTGAAAGACTGGGAGAAGGAACTCCAAGTGTAGCAGTTGTTGCAGCCACAAAATCAACACAATCTTCTTCTGGATTATTTTTATGATGGACTTCCATGTTAAGTGTATCAAGAGAGACAAGCTCCCCCGTAAGGGCATTATAGGACTTTGATCCAATTGCATTTGCAGTGTCATAATCCTGGCTCAAAAGAACATGAAGATTAGAATATCAAATAAACACATCATAAAATAAGAAATAAACCTCCACATTGTTTAAGAAAAACATAAAGATAACATTTTGATAAGTATTCAAGAAAGATCACTTGGCCATTTAAAATTTACAGTAAGCAATGAAACCCATTTTTTCTTAATCTAAAGCTAGATCAATTTAAAAAGATGTGGCACAAGGGGCTACAACAGCTTCAACTTTCAAGGAACCAGGCCAGTTTGCGGTGATACATAAATTCTTTGTATACAAGAGGATGGTTCTGCTAAAACCTAGAGATTACCCAACAGACTAGAGGGCTGTTTGGGATAGCTTTTTCCCAGAAATAATTGCTTCTTTTACCCTGAAAACTCTCTCAGAAAATTGACAAAAATAATTTTTTTATTTCTTCAAAATAAGCAGAATCCAATACAAACTAACTTTTCTAAAATTAAATTCCACCTTAGAGATTTCAAAACCGCAACATCAAAATAGAAGCAGCACTGCAGAACTACATAACTTATTACACAGAATAGGGACTATATTTGACATTCATGTACCTACTCAACTGAGTTATACACCAGTAGTATCTTGAAATTATTTTTAGATAAGCTAATAACATCTCTAATAAATAATCGCTACAAAAAATAGAAGAGAAATCATAAATATATAATGATAGTTGAACAACCCCCCCACCCAACATAATTGATAACATGCATCCAAATTCTTGCGGACATAATCAAGTTGCCAATTGATACCGTGAACAAAATGCAAAGATTTTAGAACCACAAAATACAGCAATAATATCAATGAGTTCATATGACAGAACAAATTAATTTGGATTGAGGGTTAAAAAATACCTGAGGATCAACAATCCAGCCATGATACAAAGGGATGTCCAGCAGATCAAATATTGCACACTCTCGAGTGAATTCAAAATCATCTATTCTGGAATTAATGTGTAATTTTTTATCAGAACTTCAAGATTGTTGATAAATGCACACAACTGCCAAAGAAATGAGCATAACTACAAAACTGACCTCCTAAATTTTATATTTACATCAATGCCAGTAGCAAGCCTAGGAAGCAAGTCAATTGCATCAGCAATGTTCTGTTGTTGATTTTCAACATAACCTGCATCTTTGTTCTACATAACATGAAAAAATGTTAAATCAACTTGAATCACAAAAGAGTGAATGTCACTGGTGATAACAAATGTAACTCTTACATTCACGTTACTATTTGAATCAATTAATCGTTCAGCAACCAATGAAAGCAATTTCTCCTGTGAGACTTCAGCAATATCTGGACTCAGATTTAAGTTGTTTCTTAACAGAAGAACGTTACCTGCAACAATGCAATATATAAACAAAAAGCAACAAGTGTGATGCTATAAAACAAACAACTGTTGCAACTTACAAGTAACTCTTAAAGTGCAAAAATTGAGCATTGAGCATGACATATAAGGAAACAAATGGTTAAATTCCATTTTTCAAATGATCTAAGAGAGCATCAGTTAGTGCAGATCGTATAGTCACAATTTCCAGATAGTACAAAAGAAATGGAAAATATATAAAACAAAATAGAAACAAAAGAAACTGTAGACCAGAAGGAAAAACATGTTAGTAGGATTCCTACATAAGTGACTTGGACGTTAGAAGAAGACTTCAAATTTAGTAAATGGATATGATGAGAAATACCTGATTAGATATGAAAATAAGACTAGTAGCAAGTCAGAAATCACGAGAGGATAATATTTTATCATTAAAACACACATCAAGTGTATGCCTTTGAGTTCATTATTTAACTTTATCTGTGGTGATTATGAGTAGCAGCCCAGAGTGGCTGACCCTAAAAATATTATAGCAGGATAATGGGTAGCTGGATGGCTGCTATTCTAACTAATTAGAATAAAAAAAATTAAATGGTAAAACTTAGAAGAGACTAGAGAGCATAAGATAGGATAAAAAAAAAACAGCAGTGCTATTTGGTACGAAAGAAGGTAGTACAAAATGCAAGAATAGTGATCATGGACCAATACCTTTTTTTACAAATTTTGATTAAAAAAGAAAAGGTATTAAACTCTATTTAACATGGTAAACAAAGGATTTGTGATTTTTAACGAAATCTGTTTCATACTTATCAGCATTTTCCTTAAAAAATGTGGGGTGAAAAATAACCAAATGGTTTTTGCAGGAGCACACTGGCATATATGCAATTAGAGGTAAGGTACCAAGTATCACAATTGAGAAACATTGAACAACAAGGGGGACAACAACGGTACGGCAGAAGAGTGAAAGCATTGACACAACACCACCAAAGACATACATGTTCTCTTTTGCCCGCCAAAAGCAAAAAGAGAAACATAGATATACAAGAAGGTCGGAATAATGGCATCTTGGCCTGCAATCAATCTGAAAGACCAAACATGTGTGGATTCCAATATGTTTTCCTTTGCAAGTTGCAGCTAAACCCAAATATTAGGAGTTAAGAACATCATTTAGTTTCCATGTGTTATATTGTATCAGTTATATGCTTACCAGTAAAAAAGATAATATCGGATAAATCAAAAATTGGCATCTATCATAAAATGACTTGTTCTGATAAATCTCCCAGAGGAAAGAAAAGTGCAAGCCAAATAACAGAATGACTACTACCACTAACGAACGGCAAGAAATAACCAAACACCAGAAAGATTTATACGTGTTGATAAATGAATTCGAATTCGAAATCGAAAAAAATAAAAATAAAAAATTTATGTCATCAACTTCAATAATCAACAAGTAGCAGATATAGGATTAAGGCAATACACGAGGCAATTCATAGCAAGAAGCAATCATTCAAAAAACGGTTACACAAAAGAGCAAGTTCCGTATCCCTAAAGCAATCCAATTGGCTGCGAACGAAAAATTGAGGAGACAGAAGAAGAGAAAAGGTATCTTAGCAATTAAGCATAAAGAAAAAAAGAAAGAAATGGAGAAACCCTAGGATGCGAAATGCACTGACAGATAGCGAGGAGCGGGCAAGGTCCATTGTCGTTTTGAAGAACGATCGGAGTGGTGCGTCCAAGAAACTGAATCGTTTTGGTTTTGTGGACGCACTCTTTCACTGCCTGCTGCGGCTGTTGCTGTTCCTCTTCCCGATCCTCGTCCCTCGATTGCTCCTTTGGGGAAGACGATGCCATTTCAACGGTTCTTGATTTTCGGAAAAACAACACAACAAATGACAATGGAGTATGACTACTAAAGCTTCTTTATTGATTGCTCCAACTTAATGTCAAACCCCCCCAACACTACCAAGCATTTTTATTTTTAATCCTTTTCTCTTTTTTTTTATTCCCCTAATCTTTTCTTTCCTTTCCTTTCTTTACCACAAGTAACTAAACACTATATACCCATCAACGCTCCCATACTTCCTATAAGGTCATAAATGAAGGTCGTAAATTAAATAAAAGTTTTTTACCTCTAATTCTAATTATAAATAATATAAGATAAATTATCAAGATAAAAAAAATAATTATTTTTAATTAATTTTATCATAATTCAAATTTTATTTTACATATATCATTTACTTTTAACTGACTGTTATATTTAATATTAATTATAAATAAATACATAGAAAATAAGATTAATAATAAATAAATAATATAAAAAAAACTAACCTTAAATAACTTTTAAAATTATTAATTATTACTTATAATTAAGATGAAAGAAAAGTTTATTTATTGATTATAATTAGAATTATTTTACGTATAATAAAATATGAGAAATAATATCATAACAGAAAATAAGAGAGAATCTGCATCATTTTTTTTTTTGGCAACGTGATGACAAATTAAAATGAATAGAAACCACACAAAAAAGTATAAACTATTATTACACTATTTTAAAGATATTACGAATTGATCGGAATAGATTCCGTTGGGTTCTTGTGTGGGTTTTGTACAATTCAAAAAACATGAGCAAAAATGTAAAACGGTTACTCTACGTCACGGTGGAAATGAGGTTGTTGGGCCTACCTTTTAACGGTAACTTCGTAGGACAGAGTCCATCCTTGCAACGATATCGACCCAGTCTTGTTCAGCTTTGCTACGTTGTGCTTAAATCTCTAACATACAGACAAATTGGGCCTCAGACTGATGGGCTCTGGCTTCTGAAAATGGAACGTGACCCAAAAAGTGAATTGTAGGCTTTCTTTCTTTCCCACTCTCACTTTTGAAGTAGTGGATGACAACTGACAAATATGGCAAAACAAGAAGGATAATTTATTTTGGGAAATATGTTCATAGGTTAACCAGGTAATTCTTGATTTTTGTTCAGTTTAGACAAATTTTTTAAAAAAAAATATCAGACAGAAAATCACACTAACTTTAAAATGAGATAAATTTTCAATCATAATTTGAAATGAACGAGCACTGTGCGAGACTCCTATTTTAATTAATATGACAAGAAAACTTTTTCGAGGATGTATATATTGTTTATTCTCTTTCTGATTTGGCTCATTTTCTTTACTTACAGATAATTGTGTTGTTTTTATTTTTATTTTAAACTTTTAATCTGTGTGTGTGCGTGTGCGTGTGCGAGAGAGAGAGTGAGACAATAAATGATCAAGTCAAGAGAATCGTGTTAAAAAAAATAGTTTAAATAAATTTTCTAAAATATTTTAAAATTCAATTTTGTCTAAATTTATTTATTAGGTTTAGGTCTTTACCCTTTAAAGGTGACTAATTTTATTCTTTATTATTAAATGTTTTTTTTGTTAAATATTGAGATGACTAATATTAATATAACTTAACATAGTCACTGTAAAAAAATAAAATAAAATAAAAAACTAACTTGACATTATTGTATGTATCTTAATATTGATTAAACACTTTTAATTAGATTTAATAGTGATGTACTAACAGTGTAAAAAAAATTACATAGTTATTCAATCACAATCTATTATAAATAATAAGTTTGTTAACTTAATTAAACAATAATTATCTTAAAAATCATTCCAACTGTGATTTTCTTTCTACCTAATAATGATTCAAGGCTAGCTACCATGAATAACTTTATGCATGTACTAGGTTGTTAAGCATCCTAAAATGGCGAGCTTTGAGACAGAAGGTAGATGATTAATGAGTTTTGTTTATTATCATCATGCAAAAATGAAAATCTATAATCAAATCAACAAAAGCATAAATTAATTGATTACTGCAAACAATAGCATTTACTTAATTGAACTAAATCATTTTATAAAATTTTCACTCATTTTTTATCTTTGTCAAATAAAATGTACATGTCATAAAATCTTGCAGCAATAATACTTTTGGATCTGTTTCGATATACTTTTTTTAAAAGTATTTTTAGGAGAAAAAAATGAAATAAGTTTCTTTATAAATTAAAACTAATTTATACACACTACTAGAATTTCTCTTATTACATGCGATTTTTCCTACGAATTTTTCATAAAAATTTGCAAGAAACGTTGTTCCTAAAAATTTTTCTACGAAATTTTATTTGCAGGTAATAAATTCGTGGATAATATATTTTTACGAATTTTAAAATTCGCAGGAAAATTTCCTGCAAAATTTCTTGCGAAAAAAATTCGGAGGAAAGTTTCTTGCAAAAAAAAAATTGCAGGAAATTTTCCTGCAAAAAAAAATCCGTAGGAAAATTCGCAGCAAAGTTTCTTGCAAAAAAAAATTTGCAGGAAATTTTCCTGCAAAAAAAATTCGCAGGAAGCTTTCCTGCGAAAAAAATTCGCAGGAAACTTTCCTGCGAATTTTTTTGCAAGAAATTCTGCAGGAATATGTTTTACGAAAAAATAAAAAAAATACTATAAATTATATATTTTAAGAATTCATAATCTTTTATTTTCATGCCTCATACATAATCTTTTAAATTCTAAGATTGTAATTATAAGTCTAACACTCAACCATACAATTCAACTTGTAAGGTAAGTGTTGCCCCAACTTATATACTCTTTAATTGTTTTATTTTCAATCGATGTGGGACTTAGAGATTTTTTAAAATATTAAACTTATGAATTTAAATATATTTTTTTTATTTTTCCTGCAAATTAAAATTTGCAGAAAAATTCGCAAGAAAAATTACCTGCAAAAATTTTCTACCATTTAGTAAATATTACTTGCGAATTTATTTTTGCAAGAAAATCTACAAGAAACAAAATAAAATTCTTACAATATTTTTCTGTAAATTTTTACCATGAAAATTTTTTCCCATGATTATTAAAATTGTAGCAAAATTTGTAAGAAATATCTGTAAATTATTTTTTGCAGGAAAATTGGCAAAAAAATTCTGTGAATATTTTTTTGTAGGAAAATTCGTAAAAAAATTTTGCGAATATTTTTTTGCAGAAAATTTTGCAAAAACTTTCTACAAATATTTTTTTGCAGGAAAATTTGCAAAAAAAATGACATTTTTCTAGTAGTGACATAAGATATAAAATATTTTTTTAAAATTATATAAAAGAACTTCTACAAATTAGTAAAACTATCAAATTAGGTCACACTTGACCCACCAATGGTTGCTCAATAAAAGGTGAATTCAACTTGCTTACCCTTGGTGAATTTATTAAAAATCAACATGACATGACCCACCACATGATTGAGTTAAATAGATTAGCTCATTGTAATTTTTTTTTAAATTATCGACTTAAAACAATATTATTAAACATGATTATTCACAAAATGACAGATAAGGAGTATACATCATCAATTTGATTTTATAATTCTTAAAAAAAACATAGATTGTATAACAAATAATATAAGTATTATAATAATACTCATCAAAAATTGCATTATCAATGTTGTCAATGAAATGAGTTGAGTATGTCTGAATTTAAGACTAATTGGATTGCATGATCGCATGTGATGAAAATGAAGTGAGTTTCTAAGTGAATCATTGAGTTGTGAACTTGTTGATTTATACAATGGTGGTTAGTAGTTTGTCTTTTCTAGAGGAAGAAGATAGAGTAAGCACTATAACAAAATTGATTATTACCGATAATTATTTAGTGATAATAAATTAATTATCTTTATTTTATTATTTAATAAAAATATTAATGACTAATATATAATGGTCACTAAAAATATATTTATATCACACCAAAATTTATTATTAGCGACAATTATTTATTTGAAAAAAATTAAGTCTCACATCGACTAGAAATAAGATAATTAAAGAGTATATAAATAGATGATAACTTTCACCTTACAAGTTTGTTTTATAGGGTTAAGTTAGACCTATAACTTACTATTCTAAATTGATATCAGATTACTAACCATTACCAAATTCAATAGTCCCTAAACTTGAGGGGGTATATTAGAAAAAATTCAAATTTCACATCGATTATTGGTAAAATAATTAATTAGGAGATAAGGCAATTAAAAAATATATAAGTAAAAGACATTGAGTAAAAAGTAAAAAATGTCACAAAAAATTATATACTTTTTCTGACCATTAGAAGGATTTTTTTACCAGCATTCAGAATAATTACCGCTAAATGTTTTATCGACACTGTATACAATGACTATTATGAAAATACTGCTAAAAGATTTTGTAGCAAATTTTATTAACACTAAAAATCATATTAAATATCACTAAAAATTTATTTTGTTTTAGTATTGTATTGGTTTATTTGACTTTATTTATTATGTATGTAATTCACGAGTTGATTAAACTCAACATGGAGTTAACTTTGGTTAAATTATTTCTTTAACTTAAATTTTGGAATCATACTAACTCGAAGTTATAATAGGTTGAATTAACTCATTTGTTTAACTCATTCTGACAAACTTATAAACTAGTTTATATATAAATTAATTTTATTTTATAATTTTTTATTTTTCTTTTCTTTTCTTCTCTTAAAAGTATTTAAAGAAAAAAAATCTATATATATATTAAAAAATGTGAACTACCGATTGGGGAGAGCAGAGATTTGGCATCCGTATTTTTTTTTTCTTTTTAAAGGTAGCATTTTTTTTTTTTAGGTGTTAACAAGAAATGGTTATTTTTAAATAATATAAACATTAAAAATTACATTAACCATGTATTTTAAAAATAAAGAATAAAATAATATTTTAATACATTTTATAAATTTAAAATATCAGTTTATTAAAATTTAAACTCCGGTCAATAAAATTTCCTTTTTTTTTAAGTTTAAACATGCAATTCTCGTGTATATAATCTATGGGATTAGAAGTGTACAAAAAATTTAAATCAATTTGAACCAATCAATAATTGAATTAATTTTTATTAAAAAAATTATATGTATTTTTAAAAAAATCTAAATCATTATATTTGATAAAATTGATTCAATTAT